GTGTTGCCGCCGCTCCCGCTCAACCAACAGTTGGCTGCTGGCCAGTCGGCTGCCGCTGCAGTACCCGGTCAAGCCTCCGGGCCATCGACGGATCCCCCTGCTCCGGGATTGGCCGGTACAACCGGCGAAGCTTCAGACGATTCTCCGCTGTCAACGGATGAGATCGTCACACTGCTGGCCCAGGCCATCATCATCAAGCGCACCTGCGCTACAAGACCGTGCAGCCATAAAGATCGCCAACTGGAACGCTCGCTCCGTAGGGGCGAAAAACATGGAGCTTGCAGACTTCCTCCGCAAGCACGACATCGATGTGGGCCTTCTCACCGAGACCCACCTCAAGACCGGTGACAGCTTCTGGCTGCCCGACCACAGCATTGTCCGGCTTGATCGCACCAGCTCCAGGGGGGGCGGTGTCGCGGTCATCATCAAGAAAGGCATCAAGTACTGCACCCTACCCCACTACCGCACTTCCATCATCGAGGCCGTCGGCGTAGAGGTGGAAACATCCACCGGAAACGTCCGGTTCATCGCCGCCTACTGCCCCCGGCAATATACAGTTAGCAATGGTACAGCCAGCGAATCCAAACACATAAAGCAACCAACGATACAGACAAAACGGTTGCTACGACTACCATGACAAACTCGCTCTGTAACATCCCAACAAACAATTTTAGCTGCAGCTTAGCTTATACAGGCAAAAATTAGCTGCATAAGGCAAATTTTGGCTGTATAAGCTAATCTGCAGCTAAAATTGTTTGTTGGGATAGCTCGATCCGAGTGGTAGAAGGATAATGATATATTGCTTGTCTGCTTTGTTGCAATATACACGGATGAGGACATAGCTTGATATGAATCGAGAAAAGACATAACAAAAAAATTCCCATTAACACACGTGTATCATGTTCGACTTTACTTCGTGAAGCAGCTTGCCAACAATTTGCTCGTTTCCTTCTACCGTCCCGAATGAGTTGTGTCGCACGGGCTGCTTGTCATGAAAAAGAAGGAAGAAGATTATATCATTATTGCTTTGCACTTCTGACATAGCGTTATTATTCGGTTCGTTGATCGCTTGTCATTTTGTCATTTGGAGATATTTTTGATTCCTTGGGTACAGCACAGCAGTTCTAGAACGAGCTTGCCATCATAACCCGCACCAATGCCCGCTTCGTAATCGGAGGGGACCTGAACGCCCGGCACGAGGCCTGGCGAAACTACTAGCAGAACCAGAACGGCCGCCTACTATTCGACCATTCCCAGCATGGTCTCTATTCCGTCTGGTTTCCGGACGAACCAACCTTCACATCACCGGCGGGCAACCCATCGACGCTGGACCTATTCTTGGCAAACACCGGATTAGCCAAGCCGGTTGCCGTCAACGACCTGAGTTCGGACCACCAACCGGTGCTGACCGAGCTGGGCTGCAACGTGGCCCCTGCACCGTGCCAGCGGAATGACTACCATCGAGTCAACTGGGTCCAGTCTCGGCGCGTGGTCGACCGCCACATCGTCGACAACCCACCGCTCGACACAGTGGAGGACATCGACCGGGCTCTGGAGGGTCTCCATCAAGCCATATCCGTGGCTGACGAAGTGTGCGTTCGACGAGTTCCTGTGAGGGGTAAGTTTCAAGCAATTGATTCCCACACCAAACTCCTGATTCGGCTCAGAAATGTTCGTAGACGCCAGTTTCAGCGGACTGGGGACCTGCAGCGTAAATACGAAATGGTCGATCTGAATCGGCGGATCGCTTCCAGAATGGTCTCAATCCGGAACGAGAGTTTCGGGCGGCTCGTTCAGAACCTGGACGACCGTTCCAGACCATTCTGGAAGGTTGCCAAGGTGCTGAAGTCTCACCCCAAGCCCATTCCACTACTTAGAGTCAATGACGAACGGCTTATCACCAACGAAGAGAAGGCCAATGCGATTGGGGAGCACATTTCCCAGTCGCATTTGCTTGGTCCAAAATCCCAAGTCCACTCGAGAACCAGGTTGCGCAGTGCGTCCAGACGTTAGATGCCTCCCCTTGTGCCGTCCCTCCAGAAGAACGGATTACAGAGGAACAAATTTGCTCAGCGCTGAAACACAGTAAGAACATGAAGGCTCCCGGTTTTGACGGAATATTCAACCTAGAGTTGAAAAATCTCAGCCCGAGGGTGCACTCGCTGCTGGCTGCCATCCTCAACAGATGCTTGGAGCTGCACTACTTTCCAAGCATCTGGAAGGTGGCAAAAATCATCCCGATCCGCAAACCTGGGAAAGACCCTTCACTACCGTCAAGCTACAGACCGATTAGCCTGCTCTCAGACTGAGCAAGCTGTTCGAAAAAATGCCACCACGTGGAAAATCAAAATCAACGCCTCGAAAACCCAAGCGATCATGTTCCTTCACAGACAATCGCCAAAACTTAAACCGTCTCCCTCCTGTACCGTAATAATCGATGGTACAAGGGTCGAGTGGTCCGCTGATGTTACTTATCTCGGGATGTTGTTCGATGAGAAGCTCCTGTTCCGCTCGCACATAAAGAAAACCCTAGTTAAGTGCTCCGCCTTGGTTAGGTGTTTGGATCCGCTCATTTGCCGCAGATCCCGCCTCTCAAGGCAAAACAAACTGGCTGTCTACAAACAGATCATAGCCCCCGCGATCTTCTATGCCGCCCCGGTGTGGGAATCGTGCGCTCAGACCCACAGGAACAAAATCCAGGTTGCACAGAATAGAGTGTTGAGGATGATCCTAGACCGTCCATTCGACACAAGAATAACAGACCTCCATCAAGAGGCAGAAATTCCCAAAGTAGATTCCAAAATTGAGGATATGACAACCAAATTTATCCAAAAATGCAATCTTTCTGAACATGCTTTTATAAGCAATTTGTACATAGTAGGTTAAGTGTATATAGTAGAGTAGGTTAGTTTTAAGCTGTAAATAGTAGAATTAAGCAGTTTCTCTTCAAATTCTAAAAACAAAACGAACCAATCCCACCAAGGTGGTCGACGGTGTACTAAGTCTAGGACTAATTCTGTAAAACAAATTTTGAATTTTGCCCATACCTAAAGATGAAGAAAGCAATTAAATCACTTAGAAAAATGTATATGGTAATCATCCAAGTTGAACTGAAATAAAGATAACATGTTATAACTCTGTAGTATGAACGTACTATAATAGTACGTTCAGACTACAGAGGCACGTATCTTCGGGACCTTCTGGTCTTAGAGTTACCTCTATGGTTATAACATGTTTTAGCGCTATCTTGATGGTGGTTTCTGTGTTGCAATTATTTGACAACCGTTATAACATGTTATAACTGCTCAGTATGGACAGCGTTTAGGACTAAATTCTCAATAGGGACCAAAAATATCCATTAGTACCGTCATTCATTAGCATTCATCTAGATAAAATAAATAAATAGCAGATTTTAGGCCAACATTAGAGCCATTTTCCCTATATATAAACTTATATAAATAACATCAGTTTTTATCCTCTTCACTTTTACACAAGTAAACAAACATAAATAAGAGGAATGATAAGGTTGCAGATAACAGATGAAATTTAGTATCTTTAGCTAGACTCTGTAGGTCATGGACCAGGGTCTTTTACTCTGACTATATTCCGACCCGATGTTAAATCTATATCTCTACCCAGATGCAGTATGGACAGCGATTTTTCACTGGATACCTGGCCCAATGACCCCTTTCTGTGCTTGAAGACAAAAACGAACAACCCTTATTACATTTTTTATTTAAATAAACCACCTCAAAGGAAATTCAGCAAGCCGTTATGTCAGGCATTGACAAATTTCTTGAGAGCTCGATAGTTTTTTTTTTAAGGTAGTAGTCAATGTCAGCCTGAAAAAATAATCGCCCTTTTATCCATCAGTGAATAAATATAACTTGTTAACAAATTGTTACCATCAATCACAACAAATTACCAATGCAAGCAAGCAACGAAAAATTGGTGTTGGTAATTCTCATAAAACTTTCATGCACCGCCAACCGTGAATCCAACCATCGCAATTAATTTTCAACCTTCACAAATAAACCACCTGTCTATCTGAACACCGCCCATTTCCTTACGTGTTCGGTCGCATCGGAATAAAGGCTCTTCCGTCCTGTCTTCACGGCATCTCACCAGCAAATCCGGCCAGATAAAGCAGATTCCTCTTCCGCGTTCGAAAGATAGGTGAATTCTAGCGCACCTTGACCGGAGCAAAGGCGCACGGTTCAGTGCCGAAATCAAAAGCGTGAAACGTCCTACCAGACCGAAGAACAATTAATCTACTCTACATGAAATCGAGGTGTTTCGGATGTGACTTGAATCAATACACGCAACGCTGACGGAGTTGACTTCCTCAATTTTTTTACGGATGCTTTTATTTAAAAGTAACTGCTTGATGAGACTATAGAATATGCCATTTTCACGGAAATTTGCTTACGGTTAAACGGGATTTATGTTACACGAACGAACGGGCTCTTTTGGGGGCTCGTTCGCTCTGCTGCACATTCCACAACATTTTATAGATTTTATTAATTATATATATTATATACAGATGAAAATTATCCGTAGAGTTTGAAGATCACCTTTTATGTTTTACTAAATTTTAGATAGTAATATATTCGCTATTTTCCGTCTGTATTTGCATTGCTACAATGTTTTGGGATTTTTTGGGCAGAAAATCATATAGCATACCTGTGTGAGTGGCAGAAGAGCAATTATTAGGTAGGTGGACATTAACCAATCATCAGACTTGATCGGTGAGTATCCGCTATAATTGAGAAAATAGAATAATAGGAAACTGTACAACGGAAAAGACCTGATGCTACATCAAATCTGTATAAGGTACACCGGGACAACTTGAAATCATGGACCATCTTGATGCAATTCACGTTGTTTATGTGCAATATGTCAATATGTTTGTTGATTTTATAATTCGATCTTTTCCCCGGTGATGGCCGAAACGACCATAAAATTGCGAATGAAACCAAAATAATCCACGATCTCCTTGCTCCCCCAACCAAGGCAGGGGTTTTTTTTCTGTCGACCATTAAGTGTGCTTCTGCGCTGTTTGCTGCTGTAGATTTAGTCCTATTTAACATTTAGAGCTTACACGCTAGAGTGAAAAGGCTTATAAATTATGAACAGAGTGATTTAATTCTAATCCATATTTACAGGTACCATTCGTACCATCTTTGAGGGATGCAATTTCCGCCCGGCGCACACCGTAGGCTTCGGGATAGGGCAGCTGTAAAAGAGGAAATAGTTAGTGAAAGTACTAGGTTCATTCTATTTTTACAGGGTCCGTTCGATTTGATGTTGACAAAATTGAAACGGGAGAAGAAATGCGGAGAACTTAAATTCAGCGAAACGTGGGTGCGGAACTTCAAGAAGCGGAGTGGAATTCAAGGTTTGAAAATTTGTGGGGAAAAGTTTTCTAGCGATAGTGCGCATGGCAAATTTCAAGAAAAAATAAATAAAAATACATGAAGATAAAGTTTAATCAATTTGGTGTCTTCAGAGAAGTTTTCAGTTGAAAGAAGGCGTTTATAAATTAAAATGTTCTGCAAATTGTAGAACTCATCATTCCCATAAACTTTGCTGAATATGCACATTTGCTAGCATGTAATTTTTATTGAGATATGAGGTATTCTTTATGGAAGCCCCCTAAAATCTATTTTTCGGTTTTAACTATTTTGTTTGATTTTTCCAATGCATACTACCTATGTCCAGCAAAGTTTTTTTTTTATTTTACAAAAACACACAACTTTCTAGCAGACAACAATACGCTATCTAGTAGTCCACAAAAGATGTACCGTAAACCGCCATAATTCCCCGCATTCGGGACAGAACGTAAAATTTGTGTCCATCAAATAGTAAATTTAGTCAAATTCGTTACGAGTTCCATTGTTTATAGATTAAGCTATCGCAGCCCGGGAAGCCGGGCGATTTACAGTTCCATGTTCTGAGTTTCCAATCGTAGTCCTTATTTCATTGCGTAGGTCTGTGCCGATTGTTCCGATCCGTATTTCTTTCTTCGGTATTTGCAACTTTATGTTTTTTTTTTAGGGCGGCTTGTTGGGCCTGCCCCAACCCCTGTCTCGCCGGGGAACCATCGTGCACAGCTCTGTTTAGAGTCCCACGCTGGTACTAGGACAGTGATTAGAAGCTAACAACTTCCAGAAGGGGACAGTGACGCTCAATGCGCGGCAAATCATCCGCTCGATCTACTCACGATCTAACACAGTGCCAGTAGTGCCTCAATTTTGGACACGGTACCTGCAACTGTAACATCAAGCCACGCTGCAGCAACTGCGCTCAAGAACACGCCACTTCAGACTGCCCTGCGGATGAAGACGCGACGTTAAAATGCGCCAACTGTGGTGGTGCTCATCAGGGTTCCGACAGACAGTGCTTCAAACGCGAGGACTTCAAACGCATCCGAAAGCAGGCTGCAACCAACAATCAACCAGGACGCAAGGAGGAGAAAACCCTAGCATTCAGGATGGAGGATTTTCCACCTCTTCGTGGTGCTCAGCAAGTGCAAACGAATTAACGGGTGCATTCCGCTCCCCCTCTGCTGGACAGAAACACCGTAGATGACATCGACCGGGCGTTGGAAGGACTCCACCAGACCAGAATGGACTCACTCCGAAATGAAAATTTCGGGGGTGTTGTTCAAAACCTGGATGACCGTTCCAGACCATTCTGGAAGCTACACTGCCGATGGTTCTACCCTCATCAATCCCACAGGAGAAAACAAATGCGATAGGTGACAAAATCCAGGTCACTCAGAATAGAGTGCTGATGATGATCTTCGATACAAAAATTTCCGATCGGCACCTAGAAGCGAACGTTCCAAAATTAGATTTTAAATTGCTGACATTAAGACTAGATTTGTACAGAAATGCAACACATCAGAATATAAGCATTTTGTATATAGTGCGGTAGGTGTATAGGTAGTATTTCCAATTCATAGAGAAATTAGCATTTGGCGTCAGATTAGACAACCGAAATTGACAATCATCACTGACAGTCATCCTGCATCCCAGCCTGCAATCTATTCCAATTAGGTAAACCGGATAAATTTGTATAGCAATCCAGCTAATTCATCATGGTTACGTCAACCAACCGTTACTTTAAAACTTTTAAAAAATTAATACATGGTAAAATGATTGATATTTGGAACAAACCGAGGTCTTATATGTCCTCAAAACCTCACAAATTAGGGCAGGACATGAGGTTTAAAAATCAGACATAATTGATTCGGTTGCGATAAGTTTTTTTTTTTTTCCTTTGGTTTGTTTTTTCCGTCGATCTTGTTTTCCGTGCTGAGCACCAATGCTACCGACGTGCCAGGAAGGCAGCTCCCACACCTGGACCCTACCTATCGACCCATCAACTCATGAACCGGGACCAACGGCTTTACTTCCCATCCGAAGGAAGGCGTGATCAGAGATGTTATGCCTCAGAACATCCCGGCGGCGCCGACTGGTATTGAACCCAGGCCTGCTGGGGTGAGAGGTAATCACGCTTACCCCTACACCACCGGCGCCGTTCGGTTGCGATAAGTTTTGTCAAATATGCCAGAACCTGTGCCAAAACGTATCTCAGAAGGGCGGAGGCCAGTGAACCGTTAACTACTTTAAAAATGAAGACCATAGTCAAATATACAATTATTTGCTTCACCGACAACCATCAAAGTTGAGGAAGTGAATCTATTACATCTCAAAATCAAACGCATTATTTTAATCTGCAAGCGTTGTAATCTCGATATTTGTGTTGCATTGGCCAGAAATAAAATGGAAGGGCAAAAGTCAAGATGAGGAGAGATGATTGATTTGTATAACTGTATTTTACTGGCAATAGTTAAATCGTTTTTCAGTCGACATAGAATTCCATACTTCTTGGCAATTTTCTTGATGACATTGTCAATGTGAGAGTTGAACTTAAGTGTGTCATCAATAATCACGCCAAGATATTTCTCCCGAACGCGATCAATAGTCTCATCAGCAATTACAACAGAGACGTTCTCATTTACTCGATTCCGCGAAATTACCATAAATTTAGTTTTACTTGTATTCCATTTTAACTGCTTATACTTCAACCATCTACTTAGGGAACGCAAATCTTCATTCAAGTGTAAAACGGCATCATCTAAATCCTTAGCTGCAATGAATAACACAGTATCATCTGCAAAAAGATTAATGTCGCAAAATCGTAAAACACGTCGCAAGTCATTAATATACATAATAAATAACAGGGGCCCTATTACACTTCCCTGGGGCACTCCAAGGTTATTCCCCACGGGACTGGAAACAGAATCATTAAAAACAGTCCGTTGAGTTCTGTCAGACAAATAGCTTTCAAACCACTTATAACGGCGCCGGTGGTGTAGTGGTAAGCGTGATTACCTCTCACCCCAGTAAGCCTGGGTTCAATCTCAGTCGGCGCCGCCGGGATGTTCTGAAGCATAACATCTCTGATCACGCCTTCCTTCGGATGGGAAGTAAAGCCGTTGGTCCCCGGTTCATGAGTTGATGGGTCGATAGGTAGGGTCCAGGTGTGGGAGCTGCCTTCCTGGCACGTCGGTAGCATTGGTGCTCAGCACGGAAAACAAGATCGACGGAAAAAACAAACCAAAGGAAAAAAAAAAAACCACTTATATGCAGTACTCGTAATTCCAAAGCGCTGGATTGATCTTAACAATAACAATTGTTTCAAAAGCGCGTTTAAGATTTAAAAAAAACAGCAACAATCGTATCTTTACACTCCAAGTTATTTTTCCACTTCGCTAATACCAAATTCAACGCGGTTTCACAATAATGACCTTCCCGATATCCCGATTGTTCTGGTATCCACAAACTATTACTATTTAAATACTCCAACAGCTGGCCTTTAACAACAAGTTCTAAAATTTTCTCTAATGTGTGCAACATGTTGATGGGACAAAACTCTTCGTCTTTAATCGTTCCAGCAACTTTTTGAATAGGGACCACTAAGGATTCCTTCCAAATGTGTGGCACATGTCCAGTTTGTAATGATTCAATAATAAGGTCCAGCAGGATGTGGCCAATGACATGAAAACAATCTTGAATAACTCTAGCATTAACATTATCTACTCCAGCCGATTTTCCTAATGAAAAACAAATAACTCTAAGTTCATCTAATGTATTTGGGTGAAAAACTTCAAATCTGCAACTACTATTAACTGGCTGTTTTATTTCGTCAGGTTCATCGACCAATTCAATGGATTGATTAATAAATGAAACACTGTCTACAAAATAATCATTAAACTTAGCTGAAATTACTTGTTCTGACTGTTCTAATGTGCCATTAAAAGTTATGGACCGCGGTTTGCAATTACTAGTTTTTAATAAAGATTTCAAAATTTTCCATAACTCTTTGCTGTTGTTTTGATGCTGATCAATCTTCCTTTGAACATATTCACAACGAGTTTTCTTTATCGATTGTGAATACTTATTACGCGCGATTGTGTACCTATTCCAATGATTGTCATTATTTTTTTTTTTTTTTATAATGCGTTTATTTTTCCAGGCTCATTTGCCGTAGCTTTGCGGAGCCGATATTCATTGTTTAGATTACAAAGTTTCTTAAAACTAACGTTAGTAAAGCGGGGGCCGATTACTCGCGGCTATCTCGAGGTTAGGGGTAACACATTTTAACAAATGGATGGCAGGGTAGGGATTGAGAACACAAGGTTTGGAGAGCAATGTGCTTTTTATCTCGAACTAAGCGACCAACTGATGAAAAAGACAAACATGGGGGTACACCGATGGGCAGCTAACAACTTGGGGGAACACAAGATGACACTAACTACTAAATCCTCAGATCGATCCGTTTTAAAAACACATAAATTAAATTAAAATATTCGAGATCTCGGCTCGCCAAGATGTCTCTAACGGGCCGCAAAGGTTGTTTTCCTCGGGCCCTGAGGGATGCGGATAACTCGGATCTAGCAACACAATGTAAAGTGCATGACCAAAGCACGTGGTCGATATCGTGATAGCCACTACCACAAGCGCACAAATTGCTGCCTGCGAGCCCGATTCGGAAGAAATGCGAGTCTAACGAGTAGTGATTGGACATGAGCCTTGATATGACCCGTATAAAGTCACGGCTCATGTCCAATCCTTTGAACCATGGCTTGTTCGACACCTGTGGGAGAATAGAATGTAACCATCTTCCCAGATCACTCTCATTCCATTTTTGTTGCCAGTTGGTGAG